TATGAACAATAGGATATGATCAGGAAATAGTCCAAGACTGAGGAACTGTACGGAACATTTATCAGATGTGTGTCTGGTTGATTTGTTTTGCTGTTGTGCATCCATTTCCCCTCCCTAATAGCATCACAATTTCCTAGTTCCCAGTGTGTATAGTCTTGATGGTTCAGTAACTCCAGATTCCTGTCTCCAATGACAGAAGCCAGGAAGAGCTGACAGAACCTACTTCCCCTACCTGTGACAAAGCCAAGGAGCTGGCAAGTGGCCTAAGCGTGGTCAATCAAACACTCTCCCCTAGGATTTTGGGTGAGGGAAGCAAGGATGGAAAGAACACTTGAAATAACCTCTGAAAATTAGAGATTAAAAGGAAACAACTTCCCAAGTGCAGTTAAATCACTCACCATCATTTGAACTGTTTTACTATGCACTTCCATAATTATTTATTTCTTCTTATCTAAAGCCTTTCCATGGCTCCTTCTCACATCTGTCCCATGTTTCATTTTACTGTCATTTAGAATTCAGTCATTCACTACTTTTAGTGCCACTATGTTATATATTCAGATTATGAAATACACCCTTTCGACCTACCCAGCCCTCAAGCCCTTGTTATGTTTAGAACCTAAGTCAATTCCTCTGTCTTTTGAAATTCTAATTAGTTGTCGGTTCTCTGTTGCTCTCCCTTTTCAAGTGCTATAATTCTGAATTTCCCTTCCTCATCAGGCTAATCATCATCAGGCCAGGCCATGGCTGGCAGTGAGCGAAGTGGATGAGCTGGGATCAGAGAAGCAGTCTGAGTTCTGGGCAAGATGGAGCAGAGGACGTGTGGCCAAAAATCATCACAGGTAAGTTATTCCTCCTGAAATTTACAAAACAGGGGATTGAATGCTTTTGCTAAGCGTCTACCTACAAATTAAAGGCAATAGGAATGGAAAGAAGGTCTTGAGCAGAGCCTAGGCGACTTTCTTTAGAAGGGAAGAGCAGAGGCAGAGCGTGTGGAAGAGACCTGGCGGGGAAGCAGGAAGAACTGAGACTTTCATTGTGTTTTTTCTCATTCACACCTTGTAAAAATGACTGATACCAACGTACAGTGTCAGCTCTGTAGCACACTGCCATTTCTCTGGGGAACCTTTAGATCCAAATAAGCTTCTAAGAATGCTTTAACACTGGAGTGTTCGGGAGGGATTTGAGGGTACCCTCCAAGTGATCTTAAAATCAGACCACTCAGTAGTTCCTTATTTTGCTTGTTCCTAAAGATCAGTGTGTATTCATTTCAATCACATTTTTCCTCTACTAAGGGGCTCAATCCATCACAAATTTGAAGTCTTTTTATTCCAAAGTTTGTTGTCAGAAAATCCCTCTCCTAGACATTTCCTTCATAATTTAAATCGCTATCTATCCAACGATTTTACATTTCTATGAAATAATTTGGGTAAGTAAAGTAGCATTGGTATTCTGCCATTACTTACCAATACTTTTTTTTTTTAAAGCATCTAAAAGGTAGGAGTGTATTGGATACTTACTTATAGGATGAAAAAGGTGGAAATGTGTTTGATATTTACTTATAGGATGAGAATTTGTGCTCATTGTAATAATATTGTGGGGAAAAATGTAGTTACTCTATGTTACTTAAGTCATCACATTGGCAGATGATATAAATGTTCTTTTTTATTGTATTAGCAAGAAACATTGTGTTCTACAATACCTAACAGTTTCTAAATTCAGGGATTTCAAATATTATTCCTTGTTCACAGACCATAAAATTGCACGTCTCATTTGCAGTTGAATTTTTTTTTGAGGCTCTCCCAAAGGCAGGTGAGCAGGGTGGGTTTAGGTAGAGATTCATCAAATAATTTTTTTAATGTTGACTATGTTCCAGAATGGAGGTGGTATAACCCCTACCTATGTCCATGTCTGGCTGATTTTGTCAGGATAATAAATCATTCCTGGCTTTTCCATCTAAAGCCCCTTCCTCTGATCTACTTTTGAGTTATAAAATGTTCTCGCTCCCCATTTACTAATTTCTGGTTCATAGGAGAATTTATTCAATCCATCTCCAGGAATACTTTTTATATCCAGACTTTAATTTATATCACAGAAATAATGTTAAAAATGACTAGTACAATTGAGACAGTGTTGAAACTATTATATTGTAGGTCAATATTAGTTATGCAGCATTTTGGAGGCTGGGAAGTTACGGTCCTCTAAGAGTTCCTCAAATTCTCCCATGCAAACTTGAGTGGCTGGACTTCCAGATCTCATTGTCTGTAACTGCACTGCTCACTACCATAGCCACCAGCCACATACGCCTATGGTACACTGGAAATGAGGCGAACTCACATTAAGACTTGCTGCCAGTATAAATACACACAGATTTCAAAGACTTCATACCAAAAAAAGTTAAATATTGCTTTAAATTTTTACTTTATTATAAGTTGAAATAATATTTGTAGATATTGACTGATATAAAATGTATTATTAAAGTTCATTCACTTGTTTCTTTTTA